TACAAAACACTTCCACAAGTACAAAACACTTCCACAAGTACAAAACACTTCCACAAATACAAAACACTTCCACAAATACAAAACACTTCCAAAGATACAAAACACTTCCACAAGTACAAAACACTTCCACAAGTACAAAACACTTCCAAAAGTACTGTTTTGTATTTGTGGAAGTGTTTTGTACTTGTGGAAGTGTTTTGTATTTTTGGGAGTGTTTTGTACTTGTGGAAGTGTTTTGTATTTGTGGAAGTGTTTTGTACTTGTGGAAGTGTTTTGTGATTTGTGGAAATGCTTGTGATTTGTGCAAGTGTTTTGTATCTGTGCAAGTGTTTTGTGATTTATGCAAGTGTACGTTTTGTATTTGTGCAAGTGTTTTGTCCCTATGAGCCACCGTAGTACGACCTTGCTAAAAGATTGACCACATGTAAAATATTAATTACAAATATTTTAGTTTATCTTCAGTATATATATGACGAAAAATACTGACTATCTACGGCTCTAAAAAAGAAGATAGCAAATCCCATTTTCTTTAATTTTTAAAGTTATAATAGGAAGTCTGCGCTCCTTTTCAAATTGAATAACTCTAATTCGACTCAGTGACTTTTTTTAAGCAATCAAGGAGAATGCATGAGGAATGCATTTCATTGGGACGAAATCAAACACACAAGTCATTTAGTATTCTCTCTTTGCAGCCGCACTTCGATGTTCATGTTTCCGAAAATTCTGTCCTTGCATGTCTTTAATTATTCTGTATCGTTGTGAGACTTAAATCACTAAGAAAAAGTTGTTAGGAATTCTAAATCGTGTTTTTCTATCGTTTCATGCCTTTGAAGCAATTAAAGTTTTACAGGGGGAGGGGAGGGGAAGGATGAATTCGCCTCTGTTCATCATCTTTGGCTGTTTATGATTTCTTCTACATATTTATTGTGAATACATAGATTTATGGCGTCCAATCCACTCTCTCTCCCTAAGGGACTGAACTGCTTGAATGGCACAAACGAATTTAAAACTGGGCAGAAATTTCCGTGTTTTATTGTATAAAAACAAAAGAGAGAAAAGTGCAATGTTGCTCAAAAAAGTTGACTAAACGCGGAAGTTGTGCTTTAAAGCGAGAGAGGCACTTTAGGCACTTCGTGTTTTCTTGTCGGAGTCGAAGTTCTGAAGATTAAGTGTGTTGGTGTCCGGAATTCAGGGAAGGAGGAAAAAGGTAGACTTGGAATGCTTTGATTTGTTATGAAATGTCAAAGTTGACTGAAAGAAGATAAAGAAAAGAAACAAGAAAAAAATATCAGACAGTTTATTTTATTTCCACTTAAGTGATGTTGCGCTAGAAGAGAGCTCACAGACAGATCTATTGCTATCAAGTTCTTTATCCATTTCAAATATGAAAATTTTCAGAGCAAAGTAATTTATTGAATAAAACATGAATTGTTTGCTCTCTCTGCTCTGACGAGTACATAAAACGAAGCTTACAAATTTATCTTCAAGAGTGGAATAAAAACGCAAGCTTTAACGCTCTTATGTTTGAAATGGAAAGTTAAAAACAAAAATGACAGAATTTTAGACGAGATTTTTTAAAATTTCACTGTTCATTTCTATATTTACTTGAACAAGAAAGAGACCAAAATCTATTAATGATTGATGAACTGATTAAAAAAATTTAATCACGACCAGCAAAATATCCAACACTTAATCAAGGGATGTCTAGGAATTAAGACGGATTTTAAAAATTATCTCCCCGAATGATATAAAATTCGGCCTGCAGGCAATTGCCGACGTCTTACTCTAACTTATAGCTGACAAACAAGGAGGATTTCGCAATTCAAGTAAGCTGAAAATAGTTTTTCATTCCCCATTTTTATTTGTCACAGATGGCTTCGACAACGATGATAATGGTGGTGTTCTTGCCTGTGTTGATGTTGTCCCTGTGCGAATGTCGACATCACAAGCCTCCTAGACCTCCATTTCACTACTATAGCATTGCGAAGAAAGGCCGTGAGTAATTTTACATCTGTTCTCAAAAGGTTTTTAATCTTTGAATTTGAAAAGGTTAAAACGTTCGATCCTGAGTTATCAATGTTCATGTGACTTAATCAAGAGAGCCCGCTAGCTTTCTTTTTTTTGAAACGCACATTTTATCTTATTTTTTTTTCCTTTTAATCGTTTTGAGAAAAGGTTTTTCGCATTTTAAACAGTTTTCATCACAAGGTTTGGTACGTACCTTTCCCAAAGCCCAGAAAAGTAATCTAAAAGGTCGGAAAGCGTTACCCGATATTTTCCTAATCCAGCGACTACCATACGCATAATTTGATACTTTTCCCAGAGGCCAGAAAGGCATCTAAAAAGTCGGAAAGGGTAACTCGATGTTTCCCTAATCCAGCAACTACCCCCGCATAATTTGAAAATTCTAGCCAGCATAAATCATGACCCAATGAATTGACAAATCTTCTCTCCTTTGGTGGTTTCCTAAAAGCCCACAGTATGAGGCAAAAAACATAGTAACAATAAAATGTTGGATCATTGCGGCGCTTTATCAATAATCTTCATTTCATCATATCGCACAGAAACCGCTTTGGCAGCCAACAGCGCCTTTAATTCTGTTATTGGTTGCTTAAGACTAACTCAGTGATATGCAGATCTTAAAACAGAATAATGATTAGCTAATTGAGATACAGCAATCGGGAGTTTGAAAAATAAACTGCAGAGCCACCTTCAATTTGAACTTACACATAGATAAAGTTGAGTCACCATGGTGACGTCGCAAACGCAAGTGATCGTCATGATTCGTTCGCCGAGACATGTTAGGCTGGTTCTGTTACGTCAATGAGCGATTCTATCAAATTTATTTTCGAGACTTGTGTTCGTTCATTCAAGCAACGGTGCTGTGAGCTGTTGTGAGTAATTGCAAATAATGTTTGGTTTTAACCGTTTAATTGTTTTTTTTTTTTTTGGCAACTTTTAGTCCGGCAGAGATCTACGTGCAGTAATTGTGTTTGCGATATTTCCTCCAGTAAGCGCTTTAATGTTTGCAACGATTTTTTTTTTTCATCTCCAAGTATGCCCTGAAGGAGGAGGAGATAAACACGCCGGCTGTGAACAGTGGAAAAAACAAGGATACTGTACTCCAGGGCACCTTTACTTTGATTTTGTGTCGACCAACTGTCCTGCCTCGTGCGGTATTTGTCAAGGTTCGTATGGAGGATCATTTTAAAAGAGAGCTCCTTTTTTCTATTAGATAGAGTGCACTTTAATTGCGTGTCGTTGTCCCCAATCAAAAGAAATCAGCCAATAAGAACAAAGGAAAAATATCATAGGAAGCGCGGAAAAATGAACCGACTGACCAAGTCGCGATGGGTTTTAATTGGTCGAGAGGGTCACAAGAGGTGATTTAGGCCAGTAAAAGAAGGTGATTAAGAAAAAACAATGAATCCTGTATTATATTCCGTGTTATTTTTATCACTTAAACTAAGAAGATAGAAAAAGGTGAGGAAACGAATTATACGGACAGCGCTTAATCCTTCGTTTATTAATCACTTACTTACACTAATTCCTCTTAATTTAATCACTCTTAGGGTTTTGGGAGTTTAATGCCTACCTATAGATTATCTTTAGTTCAGGAATTCATTACTTTTCATTGTTTCTCATTTCAGCTCGTCCTACCCCACCTCCTAGGGCTCGAGCTGTAAGAGGTAGTGATCAAATAAACTTACTTCAATACTCATTTTCTTACTCTTTATCTAGTTGTACTCCATTAAATTCTTCCATTTTCATCGACAGTAAACATCAAAGAGTGTCTCAAGGCCCATAACGCAGTGCGTGCTCTGCACAGGGCTAGACCGCTGACATGGAACAGGACACTGGCCCGGAATGCTCAAGCCTGGGCTCTGGACCTTGCAAAGCGGGATAAATTCGAGCATGACAGAGTGAGAGGAGAAGGAGAGAACCTTTACTACTCAGTGGCCAGTAGCGGAAAAAGAGCAACGTGCAAAGACGCACTTGAGGCCTGGTAACTAATTTAATTTAAAATTGTAGGAGTCAAGAGAATTTTCAAGTAGTTGCCCAAATGATTTCACTGACACAAACAGGATATAAGACTTGCGCTTGGCAATTAGGGCAAAAATTTTGAATGTGATTTTTGTAGACGCTGATTCACGCAAGCAGTATCGTGATGTGTTGTATTGGTTGTGTCGCACATGCGCACTATCTGTAGTAGATGTACTTGCCTAGGTTGTCTAACGTCGCAAAGATAATTTTCTTTCAGTTTTTATGCTTTTATGTCTTTTTATTAATTTTGTCAATCTTGTATTTTCAATTCTTAGGTATGGAGAAGTTTCTGATTATCCTTTCTCGCATCCTCCAAAATCTATTTTTGATATACCTGGTGTTCAAATTGGACATTTTACACAGGTGGGAAACCTAATTCAAAAACAAGTTTTTAATCTTCTGTGACACACCTCTTTACTAATGATAATTTTTTTCTCGTTTAAATTGCTGCCCAAGAAACGACGAAACCCACTGGTTAAAAAACTGAGTTTTGTATTATTCTTTATTACTTGAACCCTGAACCCTTTACACCCATACTCTCCATAGGAGAATTTGTTTAACAATCAAGAGCTTCCTTAGTTGGTGATCATTTCCTCTATTCTCACAACCTTAATGCGTGATTCAGGAGTGACATTGTAAGATGAAATTTAATGCTACTCACTCCTTGCGATAAAAGGGTCAAGAAATAAAGGAGAGAGGCAATTATGTGCATAAAACATATCTAGAGAAGAAGGAATTGATTATGGGGTGTCAGAATAATCATCTTTGCCACCAGGGGCTCCATAGCGCAAGCCGCCATGGTTTGTTTTCTATCATTAGAACCCATATTCTTCTTTCTATTCCCTACACACTTCCTTTGGAGCTGACAGGAGAATTTGTTTAATAATCACAGCCTCTTAAGTTAGTGATCATTTCCTTAATTCTCATGACCTTAATGAATGATTGAGAAGTATCAGTGTAAGGAGAAATTAGATGGTGATCACTTTTCGGGTCTTAAGGGTTAACGAGAAAAGCACGTTCTGTTCCCAACAGGTAGTATGGAAGTCTACCAGGCAACTGGGTGTTGGCATTGCTTCCATAAAGCGGGGACACTGGACCAAGACCTACGTTGTGGCTCGCTACACGCCCCCAGGGAATTATTGGGGAAGGTTCAAGGAAGAAGTGGGGGATATCACTGCTCTGTACTGAGACGGTAAGAGAAAGTTACTTACAAAAGATTCTCCTTAAAGCATTTTTTAACTCTCGGCTGTGATAGTGCACCTGGTTTGGTGCGTCAAGTAAAGCATGACTCTCGATATGGGAATGTGGTCTCCTGACAGTAAACGCGTGAGACTCCTGAGCAAGTCGGTCAGCAGTTTCACTAAGGCCTGATATTTTTAATATGATGTTCTTCTGAACGAGACATTTTTCAATTGAAATTTGGACCGAGTGACTGACAAATTCGCAGAGAAAGAAGTTAAGGAGAAGTAGGATGGCATACAATTTTGCTAGTGGAAGCAGCGAGTGGACATTGTTTAACCCCTCCCGCACATTTTTTATTTCTCTCCCCTTTAGAAACGCGTTTTACGTATTCTAATTGAAACTGCAGCGTTCAATGCACAGGGGGGGTCTTTTATCAATACAGAAATCGTGTTTCCTCCCGAAGGAATTCGAGACAGCTAAAATTGTTCTATCGCATGAATCCGCGTAGCTAAGTAATCGAAAGATAAACTAGCCGCAAACTCTGTACAGGAAGGAAATGCAAAGCAGGAATAAGATGCTTTTGGAATTGAGGAGTATCTCTCGTGGTTCAGTTAGAAAGGGATATCATGATAATCAAAGCTGATTGTACTTTAATTTCTCTACTTTTGGTCTCTTGCAGAGTTTGTGGTGATTCATGTTACTTAGAAGCTGCTCACGGGCATTTGGCATGTTTTATGTCTAGCCCAACAGAACAAGTGTATAATGCTATTCTCTGATTTAACTTCTAGACCGCTTGACCCCAACGTTCTTTTGAAATCTTTTTAGAATGTTTCCCGTCGGACTATAACGAGCGACAATTAAAAATTTCTTTTGAGAAGCCTGAGCCTCTAGAAGCTTGTGCCACTCCTACCGCTTTGGTAGCCTTCCATACAACCTAATAATTTAATAATAAAATAATAATAATAATTATATATTTATATTGCGCAAATTAACATGTGGATATGATCAAATGCGCATCACAACACTTTTCGGGGGACTTTGGCCGGACTGCATCAGCAGTTTACAAACAATCGAAGGAAACTTATTTGAAGATGCCCCCTCCCCCCCAATTCCCAGTAAACAGGCCAGACCACATCACAGTAATCTCGTGAGTGGGTTCTTTAACGTCCCCTGCCTAACCAAATTAACTAATTAATAGATGCAGGAGACGGGACCTACGGTTTATTCGTCCTTATCCGAGAAGACTAGAATGTCCATCCATTTCTTGATATTATAGAAAGGTAGCGCATTCTCCTCAGTTATTTTAAGACCTTGAGTGTTGGTCCGGCCGGGGCTCGAACCATCGACCTCGACCTCCCGCACAACAGTCCTGCGCTCTAACCAACTGAGCTAACCGGGAGGCGAACAACATTACGTGTCAGGCTGTAGACATCATTATTCGAGGAGAAAAGGGCTATTTGCTTCGAGACAAGCACGCAAAGCGCGAAGGGCGAGTTGCGTGCGAGAGGCGGAGTACTCCTTCCTCGCGCGTGCCCGGGCCGCCTATCTCTGCTTGCCTGTCCCTGAGATAAAAAAGATATCATGAGGATGTACCCCTCGAATTGTAAAGTTATATTCTGTTCTCAAAGGACTAGATCTATGCTTCAGTGCATAACCATCAAGGGCTTACAGAAAAACTTTTCTGGATTTCGATAGCCCGCCATATCCCGTTCGAATACATGTTTAGAGAGCAAGGAAGCGTAGTCAATGTTATCTCCAATGTGTTTTCGATTTGTTTTGGGTTTTTGCCCCTCGATAAAGGAACTAACAAGCCTCTTCCTTAACCTACGCACACATAAGAATGATTTATGTGAGCTCCTTCTTGTTGAGTAACAAATATAGGCCTTACTAGTATACCTGAGAAAAAATGACCTGTTTGGGGAGAAAATCCAGGCTTCGCATAGTCATACATTGGTTCCTCACGGTAGTAACTTGAGAGGCAAAAAGAAAAAAAATTGATGCTGAGTTCATTCACTACCCCACTGAGAAAGCTGGAGTGAGGGAATCGTGAAGGAATGCATTGTTAAAGATACTTTATTTTTTAAGGTGTAGTCTGATCGTCCGGGTGAGTGTAGTCCTGAGAAGGACTGTTGTCGGTGGTAGTGACTGACGTTTCGACAACCTGTGCGGAAGTCATCATGTGAGTAAAGTGAATGATTGTTGTCAGTGGAATGTTCTTATTCCAGTTCGTGTGAAATGATCGGTTGGTTTTGCCGTGATGTTATTGGCTGTAAGACTCA